CCAGATGCCATGATCTTAGTTTTCTGAATGTTGAGCTTTAAGCCAACTTTTTCACTCTCTTCTTCCACTTTCATCAAGAGGCTTTTTAGTTCCTCTTCACTTTCTGCCATAAGGGTGGTATCATCTGCATATCTGAGGTTCTTGATATTTCTCCCGGCAATCTTGATTCCAGCTTGTGCTTCATCCAGCCCAGCATTTCGCATGATGTACTCTGCATTTAAGTTAAATAAGCAGGGTGACAATATACAGCCTTGACATACTCCTTTGCCTATTTTGTACCAGTCTGTTTTTCCATGTCCAGTTCTAACTGTTGCTTCCTGACCTGCATACAGATTTCTCAGGAGGCAGGTCAGGTGGTCTGATATTCCCATCTCTTTAAATCATTGGCCACTGGCAATTGAACTCATCTCCAGCTCCACCCCATCCTGGGAGTTCCAACTCTCTAATTACATGATTGGGTCTCCTGGCAACCAGCCCCCAACCCTAGGTGCATCCAAAGTCATATTAACATAACAAAAGGCACCTTTACAATTCTTCTCACTTCAGAAATTCCAAGGGTTTTCGGAGCTCTGTGCCAGCAATAGGATCAAGTCGTTGTATGTGTTAGTCACTCAGTTGTGTCCAACTTTATGCGACCAGATGGACTGTAGCCCTCCAGGCTCCTCTGTCCATGGGATTTCCCAGGCAAGAATCCTGGAGTGGGTTGCCATTTCCTTCGTCACTAAGTTGTGTCTGACTCAGGGATTGAACTAGGTCTTCTGCATTGCAGGTGGATTCTTTACCACTGAGCCATCGGGGAAGCCCATAATAGGATCAAGACCAAATGTATAAATCACCAGATCGCAAAAGGACATCATTGCTCATAATAAATCAATGAGTTAAATGGTAAGCATACCCACCTAACTCATGGATGGTGGGATGCGGATTCAAACCAAGGTTCTAGCCAGGGTTGAGGATTTTTTTTTCTTTTTTTTTAGGGTTGAGGATCTTAACCATGAAGTTGAACTGCATTTTTGGTCCCTCTCAATCTGAGAAGTAAAGACTGTTACTGTTTGGGGTAGTTTTCCTATGAACTGCTCTTATGGTGAAAGAAAATGAATATTATTTCATAAGAATATCTCGCTTTCTTTTCTATGAACTGTTTCTACCTAGTCTTGGACCATTCTTCACTAGGTAATTGACTTGTTTCCTTACCAATTTATAGGAACTCTTAATATATTAGAGAAATTAGTCCTTTCTATATTTGAAATTGAAATTGTATTTCAGTTTTGTCATTTGTCTTTTGATAGCTTGTATAGTGGTTTCTGCCATGAAGAAATAAGATTTTTTTTTTTAGAAATAAGATTTTATATGATCATATTTATTCATTTTTTAATTTTATGGATGCTGGACCTTGTTTCATACTTGGACAAGATTTCCATTAATGAAATAATAAAAAAATTCTCCAGTGGATTTTTCAAGTATTTTTACAATTTCTTAGGGTTGTTTTTTGTTTTTATTTTTTGGATACCTAAATACTGGGTGCACTTGAAATGTATCCTAATTCAGGATATAGATATGAGGGGTTTTCCTCCCAGCGGGCTACTCTGGTGATCCAACTTAATTTTTCTTTTAATTATCTATGTGTGTGTTAGTCGCTCAGTCGTATCTGACTCTTTGCAACTCCATGGACAGTAGACCACCAGGCTCCTCCCACCATGGAATTCTCCAGGCAAGAATACTCGAGTGGGTTGCCATTTCCCTCTCCAGGGGAATCTTCTTGACCCAGGTCTCCTACATTGCATGCTGATTCTTTAACCATCTGAGCCACCATGGAAGCTCCTTATTATCTATAGTTCCTGTTGATTTATGTACCCTTATAATATATCAGATTTCACTGGCAACATTCGAGTGATGGCTTCTTCTAGTTTTAAAAAAGTTACTGAATATAGATACCCCTTATGAATTAATACCAGGGACACCTTAAATATTTGGTAACACAGACCAACAATAGGATTCTGGTTAATGTGTTCTTGTAAATCTTCCTGGACAAATCTCTTTAAAGCAATGACTTAAAAAGTTATGTCAAAACATAAGGGAAATGCTTCTGATGCAAATTCAAGTGAAAAAGGTTATAAAGTTTACGCAAACCAAGAATATGACCACATTCTGAAAACATGCGTAGCAAAGAATCATATGAGCAACACACCAGTGTTGAAGGATAATAGTGCTTTTGTTGGAAGGAGAGACGAGACAAGAGATTCCCCCTACCTTTTCTTCCCCCCTGAATTTTCTAACAGTGGTGGTGTAAGTATAATTTTCAAATTTAAGTTTTAATCATGATGGACTGTCCACTTGGGTTTTTCTCCTCTGCCTTGGGAGACCTTGTTACAATGATAGTAAAGAAGTTAAAAGATTACAAACCTATGAGGAAAAAAAAAAAGAAAGCAAACTATCTCATGGTTGAAAAATTCCAACACATTTTTGGGAGAGGGCAAGCTGATGGAGGAGTGGTAACAGACCCACAGAGCTGTGAAGGAAGAGACCAGAAGGCGCTGGGCGGGGTGGTGATTAAAATAAAACATGTCACTTGTGGACAGGACGCCAGACTCCCCTCCTGGGAGACGTCGCTGACTCACTGTGCGTGCCCTCCAGCCAAGACACTCAGAACTGCTTCTGCTTCTTTTCTCTCTGAACAAGGAACACTGTGTTTAACATCTCTAGCTTCCACTTGGGTCTGTGGGGAGCTTAATTACCAACTGAGAAGGTATGCGAACCGGCGGGATAAAAGACCCAGCAGGCCGGAGGAGGGTTCTTAGGAGTCATGCGATCCTTCACATCCCGTGGTCTCCTGATGCACCTAAGAGGTCAGCACTCTGGGTTTGGAGCTGGGTCGTGCAGTGGCAGAACTGTGGCCCAGTGCTCACAGCGCTATCAGTAAAGGGCTGGGGCCCCTGCTCAGTCACTAAGGCATAGCCGACTCTTTGCAGCCCCATGAACTGTAGCCAGGCTCCTCGGTCCATGGCATTTCCCAGGCAAGAATACTGGAGTGGGTTGCCGTTTCCTCCTCTAGGGGATCTTCCTGACCCAGGGATCCAACCTGCGTCGCTTACGTTTCCTGCACTGGAAGGCAGATTCTTTACCACTGAGCCACCTGGAAGGCCCCATCAGAACAGGACGGGGTGGCCAACTTGAAGACAGGAATGCATGTGAGATTCCCAGCTGGGATACCAGCCCAGGTACATCCTTCGGCATCTATTTCCCATCGAGCCAGTGGCCTGTCATCCTTGGTCCCCCCCACCCCACCCCCCGCCACCAGTGCACCTGTTCCTCCCCAGATCTGAAGCCCTATCTTAAGCTCTTATTTATTATTATTATTATTATTATTAGCTGCACCAAGTGTCTTGTGGGATCCTAGTTCCCTAACAAAGGGTTGAACCCTGGGCTTTGGTAGTAAAGGTGCTGAGTCCTAACCACTGGACCACCAGAGAATTCACTTTAAGCTCTTATTTAGAGCAGGCTTCCCTGATAGCTCAGTTGGTAAAGAATCTGCCTGCAATGCAGGAGACCCTGGCTCAATTCCTGGGTTGGGAAGATCCCCTGGAGAAGGGATAGGCTACCCACTCCAGTGTTCGGGCCTGGAGAATTCCATGGACTTGTATAGAACATGAGGTCACAAAGAGTCGCACACAACTGAATGACTTTCACTCACTTACTTGTGTCCTGCCTTTCTCCTACTTATCAAGACAAGTCTAGTCTCCATACACTTGGAGGTCTGATGCCCTAGAAGTGCTGCTCAGAATGAAGTAGTCTCATCAAGATGTGGAAATGTGGTGCAGTAAACTGTTAGTATTGGCAGTTACATCTACTCAGGGGACAGACACACAGATTTGATTTGGAGAACTTGCTTGTAAGCTAGGGTCCAGTCTCTTTCCTATGGCCAGGAAACCAGATGGGGCTAAAAATATTCATAGATGTATTCAATTAATTGTCTTCATTCTTCCTTTGAGGAAATGAATTTCTAAGCCCAGAAATTTAACTTTGAAAACCACAGTCATCATTTATTGAAAATCCACTCTATAGGTAACTCCCTATCCTCTACTCTATGAAAATACAAAGAAATATAACCCCTACTTCAGAGCTAGCTAAACTATTTATACTTCTTTTATTGTATTTTTTTAAAGTCTTAATTGAATCTTTTATAATGTTGCTCCTGTTCCGTGTTTTGGTTGTTTGGCTGTGAGGCATATGGGATCTTAACTCTCCAACCAGGGATCAAACCTGAACCTCCTGCACTGGAAGGTGAAGTCTTAAAAACAGGACCACCAGGGAAGTCCCTATATTCCTTTTAAATATCTAAGCATTCTTTTTTCCATGAGGACAGGAAACATGTCTGGCTTATTTGCCCAGCATGTTGCATTCATTCATCCAGTAAATATTTACTGAACATCTACTATGTGCCAGAACCCAACTTAGGCACCAGAAATACAATAGCGAATAAAAACAAGGTATGTCTTCTGGTCTGAGAGTCTAGAAAGACAATATGTGAATGAAGAAAGAAATCCATAACATGTAAGACAATGGTAAATGCTTAGGAAAGATAAAGAAGGGCAAGGAGACAAAAGTGGTGGAGGACGTTATTTTGCAGAGGTTTGTCGAGGGAGAGTTCTCTGATAAGCAGAAGTTCAAGTCTGCTTGAATTAGACTTGAATTAGGTGAAGGAATAGGCTGTGTGGAAGTCTGGAAGCAGAGGGACTTGGAAGTACAAAACCCTCAAACAAGGAGCAACCAACAGTGTGTGTTGGAGAACAGTAAACGAATGGAGTGAGCAAAGTTGGGGTGCAGTCAGAAATGAGGGCTGGGCAGAGACTTCTCTGGTGGTTCAGTGGTCTTAACCAAATTTCCACTGCAGGAGGTGTGGGTTCAATCCCTGGTCGGTGAACTAAGATTCCACATGCTGCAGAGTGCAGCCAAAAAAAAAAAAGGAAATAAAAAAAAAAAGAAATGTGGGCTGGGGAGAGGGAGCGGCATTGTCATGTAGGGCCTTTTAGATAAGAACTTTGCATAAGCTTTTCATGGAAATATGAGAAGAGGAAAGTACACAAAGCATAAATGTACAACTCAATGAATTCTCACCAACTGGACACACCCATTTAAACCACCTTCCCAAATGAGTTTCAGAACATTGCCAGCAACCCTGAAACCTCTCCTGCCTCCTTTGTCATTGTCCCAAGGATAATCATGACTTCAACTTCTATTACCATAGATTAATTTTGCCCATTTTTGAGCTTTGAGAAAATGGAATTGTACAGTATTACCCTTTGGTGTCTGACTTTGTTCAGTCTATGTTATGTTCATGAGACTCGTCCATGTTAAGTACAGTCAGGCTTCATTATTTTTCATTGGTGTATGGTATTGCACTGTATGAATATCCTACAATTTCTTTCTCTATTCTACTACTGATCAATATCTGGATTGTTTCCAATTTGAGGGATATTTCAAATAATACTGCTATGAGCATTCCCGCTCACGTCTTTTGGAACACATGAGCATGCCTTTCAGTTTAGTAACTATCAGGATGGGATTCGGGGATGCGGGTTTTTCTTTGGTAGAAATTACCAAACTGTTTTCAGATTTTGCTTTTCAATCTGAGTGAAAAGGGAAATCATTTGAAGGTTCAACGTAGAGAAATCACACAATCTGAACTACATCTTTAAAGGATCACATACCAGAAGTTCTTAAAGATTACATCTTCCAAATGTTCAGCATATGAAATAAAACCCAAGCTAACCAGAGCCAGCACTAAAAGCATGACTCCAGAGTTATATCTGTAGCCAGGACCTCTGCTCTGATCTATGCACCCATGTCTGCATAGTCTGCTTGACAACTCAACGTGGATATCTAACAGGCATCTCAAACTTTCTATGGCCAAAACCAACTTCTTGATTGGCCTACCTTCTCCTGCAGGAGTCCCCATCTTAATTCATAACAGCTCCATTCTTCAATTTTCCTGGGCTATAAACGTTGGTGTTATCTTCATCTCCTTGTATTTTTTCCCACCCAATCTCCTAACAGCAGATCCTGTGAGCTCTATCTTCAGAATACTCTGGAACCATTGCTCACCCCACCCTCTTCCCCTACCTCTCTAGGCCATCATTATCTCTCCCCTAGACTTTACTTTTTGGCCACGCTTATAAGCATGAGGGATCATAGTTCCTCAACCAGGGATTGAACCCCTCACCCTCTGCAATGAAAGCAAGGCATCTTAACCACTGGAACGCCAGGGAAGTTCCTTCCCTAAACTAAGGCAATCCCCACCTAAGTGGTTTTCTGTCACTTCTCTATTAAAACTCTCCTGTGGGGACTTCCCTGGTGAGTCAATGGTGAAGAATCCACCTGCCAATCCAGGAAATACAGGTCCAATTCCTGATCTGGAAAGACCCACATACCTTGGAGCATCTAAGTTCGTGCACCACAACTTTTGAGCCTGTGCTCTAGAACCTGGGAGCCACAACTACTGAAGCCTGTGCACCCCAGAACCTGTGCTCCGCAACAAGAGAAGCTACAGCAGCTAGAGGGTAGCCCCTGCTCACCACAATGAGAGAAAAGCCTGAGCAGCAATGAAGACCCAGCGCAGCCAAAAGTAAATACATAAATAAAATTATTAAACAACTCTCCTGTGGTTGCCCATATCAGTCGCTATACTAAGTTGCTTCAATTGTGTCCGACTCTGCAACCCTATCGACTGTAGCCCACCAGGCTCCTCTGTCCATGGGATTCTCCAAAGCAAGAATACTGGAGCGGGCTGCCATTTCCTTCTCCAGGGGATCTTCCCGACTTAGGGATCGAACCTGCATCTCTTATGTCTCCTGCATTGGCAGGCAGTTTCTTTACCACTAGTGTCACCTGGGAAGCCCTCCCATATAAAAGTGACAAGCAAAGTCCACACCGCCACTCACAGGTTGGCTCCTCCTACCTCTCTGACTTCAGCTCCTGTGCCCCGCTTCTCACTCCACTGCACTCCCTGGCCTTTCCCGCATTTGCCAAACAGTCCAGGCCCCCTTCCACTTCCCAGCCCTCATACCTGCTGCTCCCTCTCCCTAGAATGCTCTTGCCCGCAACTGATCACTCCGTTGCCTCCGACCATTCTTTACTTAAAACTTCCTTTTGCAGCAAAGACTTCTCCATATCCCTTGATGACGGTTTCATGCTTCCCGTCATACTCAACATTTCGTATTTGCTTTCCCAGCTTTGTTTTCCCCGCTTAGCATTTATCACTATCTTACATGCCATAAGTTTTTATGCGTTTTATCTTGTTTATCAGCTGTCCCTGCCAGCGGATCATACATAATTGTCATGAGGACATTGATTTAAAAAATATATATATTTTATTTTGTATTGGAGTATACTCAGTTAAGGGGTTCCTTGGGGTCTCAGACAGTAAAGGATCTGCCTGCAATGCAGGAGACCCGGTTCCATCCCTGGGTCGAGAAGATCCCCTGGGGAAGGGAATGGCAATCCACTCCAGTATTCTTGTCTGGAGAAGTCTATGGACAGAGGAGTCTGGCGGGCTACAGTCCACAGAGTCGTAAAGAGTCAGAAATGACTGTGTGACTAACACACAAAAGCATAGTGAACTAACAAACAACATTGTGATAGTTTTAGGTAAACAGTGAAGGGGCTTAGCCATATATACATGTATCCGTTTCCCCCAAACCCCCTCCCATCCAGGCTGCCATATAATATTGATCAGAGTTCCATGTGCTATACAGTAGGTCCTTGTTGGTTATTTTAAATATAGCAGTGTATACAAAGACATTGATTTTTATGTTCTGTTTATCTCCATAGTCTGGCATCTAGAATAAGTTTCGGTAGGGGCTTCCCTGCTGCCTCAGTGGTTCAGAATTCGCCTGCCAATGCAGGAGACGTGGGTTCAATTCCAGTGTTGGGAAAATCCCTTGGAAAAGGAAATGACAATCCACTCCAGTATTCTTGCCTGGGAAACCCCATGGACAGAGAAGCCTGGCAGTCTACAGTCCATAGGGTTTCAAAAGAATCAGACCAGACTTGCTGACCAAACAACAAACAAACAACAGCATAGTAGGTTCTCAAAAAAGGTTTGTTGTTGGAGGGAATGAAAGTGAAAGTTGATTAGTTGTGTGTGATTCTTTGCGACCCCATGAGCTATACAGTCCATGGAATTCTCCAGGCCAGCATACTGCAGTGGGTAGCCATTTCCTTCTCCACGGGATCTTCCCAACCCAGGAATCGAACCCAGCTCTCCCACATTACGGGTGGATTCTTTACCAGCTGAGCCACAAGGGAAGCCCAAGAATACTGGAGTGGGTAGACTAATCCTTCTCCAGGGGATCTTCCAAACCCAGGAATCGAACCAGGGTCTCTGGGATTGCAGGTGGATTCTTTACCAGCTGAGCTACCAGGGAAACCCCAGTCGGAGGGAATGGATGGATGGAAATGATCCTTGCCCCGGGTCCTATCTTGACTACCATGTGCCTGCGAGGCTGATAACAAACCAGAGGTGGTTCTAAGCATCTCCAATGAGTTGGAGTCACCAACAGAAACATGCTCCTTCTCTATCTACTCTCCCTTCCTGGCGTGCAGGGACCTGGGAAAAGCGGAGATGCTGATCGATATCTCTGACTGGGAAGGAAGATGGGATTAGGTACTAGAAATCAAAGGAAGGATGTCTCCGCCCGTCTGCTCCCAGCAGCAGAGGCTGCGATCTGCCTGGCAAATCGCCTACTCTCAGAAACAGGATGTGTCCAGAGAGGAAGTGACTGCAGACGTGGTTGGGGTGGGGGGAGGGAAATGCCCTGTGCCTGAGACAGAACACTTGAGGCTAGTCATTCTGGAGCCTTCCAAGGGTCCATTCCTGGGGGGTGAGTAAATTCCGCTCCATGGTCCTGCGGTGACTCACTCTGTGTCTTGGGGAATGCGCGGCCCATCCCTAAGAAGGGAGAACAGGTGTTTCCTTCTCCAGGGTTCTCAGCTTGAGGGACTGGTGGCTGAAGGGGGATCAGGACGCTGATGCCAAGCCCCAAGCCAGCTCCAGTGGGCTGTGTGTTTAACCCGCTTCTGTGCCAGCATTTTCCTGGGGATGTTATGAGTGAGGAAGTGAACACTCGGCGAGGCAGCAAGTCTTGGCGTTCTGTTTGCCGCCTGGGGGGAGGAATAACTCAGTGGCAGAGGGAGGAGAGGATGTCTGGGTTAAGGCTCTGTAGGAACTGTCGAAAGGAGTAGCTTTTTTTTTTTTTTTAACACACCGCATGGCATGCAGGATCTTAGTTCCCTGTCCAGGGATCGAACCCATGCCCCTTGCAGTGGAAGTATGGAGTCGTAACTACTGGACTGCCAGGGAAGTCCCAGGAGGAGCTTTCTAGCAAGTGGTTTTACTAATCTTGGTTTCAGATAGAAGCCCACTGCCCGAGGATCTCTAGGAAACCTGCTTTCTGTACCTCCCCCCAGAGTGGTCAAGGAAGCTGACTTGGCCTGAGTGAGTCCTGGGCCCTCATGCTCAGGCGCCCCAGCAGAGGAGTTTCCCAGCTTTACGGAGGTGTTCCAGCCTCAAGACCATGGAAGCTGCGGCCTGATGTCTTGTTTGGCGGCCAGAAGAGAGAGAAACAGTTCCTGCAGACTCCTCACCTCGGTTCTGCCCTGGTGGGCTCCAAAATTTGGACTCTGTATTTTGGCCAAAGGGCATTAATGTCATAAAACCCGTACCAGGAAACTTCTGATGAAAACCAGCTTGGCTATTTAAGAATCACAAACAAAGTGCTCAGCATAGGAAAGGGAAAATGCATCAATTTAAGTTTCCAGAAGAACAGAAAAAGCAAGAAAACTTGGCGTGACCACAGCAATCTCCAGACAAGCTCTGGGACTTGTGTTTATGGTGAAATGCAGTGAGCAGCTCAAAGCTTGGAATGTTATTATGAGCATTATGATTATTATAATAAAAGCTGTGATTTTTTTTTCTTCTACTCTGAATATCAAAGCAAACATCTTTAAGCTTGTCTTGGATATGAGGTTAAAGACAGCAGGAGGTATCATCCTGGCAGGCTGCTTCTAATGCATTTATTTACAGCAAAGCGCTCCTATGGTGCAAAGCATTCTGCAACCCACTTTTTTGCTTAAACAATTAGTCATGAGCATCTTTTCATGTCAATATATATACATCCACATTTTTCTAGGTGCTTCCTGTAAACTGAGAAAGAAAGGGATCCTCCTTGATGGAAGACATGCAGTCATCTTGGGAATAGCCTGGGGGTGGGCCCCAAAGTGGGGGCTTCCCAGGTGGTGTCATGTTAAAGAACCTGCCTGCCAGTACAGGAGAAGCAAGAGACACAGATTCAATCCCTGGGTCAGGAAGATCCCCTGGAGGAAGGTATGGCAACCCACTCTAGTATTCTTGCCTGGAGAATCCCCTGGGCAAAGGAGCCTGGCATGCTATAGTCTATAGGGTCACGAAGAGTTGGACATGACCGAATCGACTCAGCACACAGGCAGGGGCCCCAAAGCAGGCGTCCGTTCTGCTAAATTCTCTGCTAAATGTTCCCATAGGAGGAGCACAGCACCCCAGCTCTCGGTCACATGTAGTAGAAACTGGTCCATCTTTTGTCTGAGCTCTGTGTGACAGCCAGGAAGGTGGGAAAACACCTCAAGTCTGTCTTGAGTTTTCCCTCCTGTAATTTCCCCTCGCCTTATTCCAACCTCACTTTTTCCTTTCTAGAAGCTGGAGAGGGAAAGTAAAGTAACTAATCTTCCTGGTCGAGTGAACAGCCCTACTGGTTTGTCTGAGAATGAGGGTTTTTCCCAGGACATGAGACTTTGAATTTTAAAGCCAGAAGAGTCCAAAGAAAACCAGGGAGGGTTAGTCACCCTATTCCCAGAATCAGGAGGGGTGAGGGGAGACATGGTCAAGTTTCCCCGAGTTTCTAGAGATCCCCTTTTCACAGTTCCACTAAGATCAGGTTGGAAGTTTCTGGAAGGCACATTCTCTGAGTTTCGACCAGGCCTCTTTAGGTCCCACGTCTACCCTGCAAACAATCTCCAGGACAAGAGATCGATGCCTTGGAGGCAGAGGAGAACTAGCCACCAGAAAAACGACCCGCTGAGGACACTGACTGTTTCCTGCTCTGCAGAGGCGTCACACATCTGAAGCCAGCTGAGACCTCTCCCCAGACTCTCCAATTTGTCCTCTCATGAAATGGCTTCATCTCACTGAGCCTCAGTTTCCTCATCTGAAAGTGGGAAGAGGATTAGAACACAGTGACCTATGTCAGGTCCCTAGCGAGTGCTGGAGAAATCTGGATTAGAACACAGTGACCTATGTCAGGTCCCTAGCGAGTGCTGGAGAAATCCCTGGTGACGTTTGGAGGGAGCTACGAGGTGCCAGAGCAGAGGGCAGGGGACAGCACCGCAGACGGTCATGGTGTCACCCCGCCACACACACACCCCCACCCCAGCCCTCATCCCTCCAGAGCCAGCTTACCATTCTCTCATCCATCCACGAAAGGCAGCAAGGTCAAGGGCCTTTCAGACCCTCCAGGTCATTTTGGTTAGGAGGTGGCTGGCACAAAGTTTTGCTTATTAACTTGAGGGCCCAGAAGTCACACTTTGTAGAAACACAATGTTCATGCCAGTGTCTCTGACCACAAACCCCAAGAGTCTAAATGTTGAGACAGTCAGGAAGTCGAAAGGGTCCTCTTGTCTTCAGAGGCCCAGCCCAGCTCACAGGAATGGCATGCATCAAAAGGCAGGAAGTCCCTGCAAGTCTGTCCCGTCAAGCCACCAGACACTGGTCACCTTTATGTGGCTGCGCAAAAAGTCAAGTTCTCAGGAGAGGAGAGGTGATCTGGGAACTTCAGGGCTGGGGTGGAACCCATGTCTGAGAATCAAGGCCACCACAGGAAGCCAGGCTTCCCTCTGTCGATAGAGGGACTAAGAGCCGAACCTTGACTCCCTCATGGGATAAGTGACTTTTTGGTCTCTGTTTCCTTTTCTCTCTGTTCTTTCTTTTTCTCTTTCTTTCTATTTTAAAAAAAGAAATTTATTTATTTATTTGGTTGCACTGGGCCTTAGTTGTGGCATGCAAAATCTTAGTTGTGGCGTGTGGGATCTGGTTCCCTGACCAGGGATCGAACCCGAGGCCCCTACATTGGGAGCGAGGAATTCTAGCCACTAGACCACAGGGGAGTCTCTCCTCCCTTATTTCTTTCCTTTTTGGCATACATTCTCCAAGGAAGTATCAAACATGTGCTGCAACTCCCAGGAACAAGCCCGCAGAGAAACAGAGAGAAGAGTGGGTGACCTTCCATCAAGATCTGAGGGACTAAAGGCCTGAGACAGCCCTGGCCCATCACTCTCCCCTTCCAGGTCTGCTTTACTGACTGACTTGGGGGCGCAGGTTGCCAGCTCCCTGTCCTGGGCTTCCTCAGGGGACAGAGGGAAGAGAAAGGAAGAGAAAGGGGCTGGCTACAACCGAAGGGATGGCCTGGCAGGTCACAGAGTCAGGCTTGGTCATGGTCGCCCACAGGGATTTCTCTGCAGCACATAATCCCATGAAAAGAGAAAGAAAGAGAGAGAATCTCTTAGTGAGCTGAAGCAGTATCTCTCCAGAAGAAGGGAGAATAAATAATAGGTTGGCCAGGAAAAATTCCTGGCCTTCTCAAGGCAAGAGTAGGTAAAACACGCCAGTTGGCCATAGGAGTCCTGCTTAAGGCAGAAGCAACCCAGAAAGTGAAAGTAAACAACACACAGGTGGTATCTTTCCTGGTGGTCCAGTGGCTAAGACTCCATGCTCCCAATGCAGGGGGCCTGGGTTCGATCCCTGGCCTGGGAACTAGATGCCATATGCCACAGCTAAGAGTTCAAATGCCACAACTAAAGATACCACCTGCCACAACTAAGACCCGGCACAGCCAAATAAATAAATAAAAGCAAGTACAGGAGAGTGAGAACAGGATGGGAGGAAGGAAAAACAGAGAGCGAGACAAATTCCTAGGGACAGAGAGCAGAGGCAGGCCGCTCCTATTTGCTAAAGCCCTCTTCTAGGCCACTGAATACTGCTGAAAGACTTAGTTATCACAGCATTTTACAGATAAGAAGACTGAGGGAATTCCCTGGTGGTCCAGTGGTTAGGACTCCATGCTTTTACTGCCAGGTTCTAGGTTCAATCCCTGGCCAGGGAACTAAGACCCTGCAAGCCATGCAGCATGGCCAAAAAAAAAAAAAAAAAAAAAAAAAACCCAANAAAACCCAGAAAACAAAACAAAACATACACAAACAGAACCGAGACCCATGAAGTTAAATTCTTCACACCAGGACCACAGGCAGGGACTAGCTAAATCTGAATTTGAACCCAGGGCTGCCTTGACTCCAGTGTCCAGGCTTTTGATAGAAGGAAGTGGCAACCCACTCCAGTATTCCTGCCTGGAGAATCCCCATGGGCAGAGGAGCCTGGTGGGTATTAGACCATGGGGTCGCAGAGAGTCGGACATGGCTAAGCTGCTAACACAACAGACTTTATCAGTCACTGCCTGGGAGCTGTCTGCTTTGAGTCCACACTTGACCCATGGCTGCTTCTCATTGCTTATAACTGTTAAAAATAATCACCATGTAAAAGAAAACTTTAAATCATAAGATTAAGTCAATATATACTGAATGGTATATTAAATAGGAAATGAATTTGGCTGCTGTGACAGAGAACCAAAAGAACAGTGATTTAAAGAAGCTAACAGAGAAATTTCTGTTCGCAGCCCTTAGCTGTCAGGAATTCACACTCCTTCTGTCTTTGTTGCTCCACCCAGTGCCCGAGCAGGATGACAAATCAAACCATCAAAAACCTGAAAGATGTAAGGACAGCCCCTGTAACCTAACTTGTTTGAACAGTGGAAAACCCCAAGTGGTCGTGGAGAATGTCAGGAAATTGACCCAGATAGAATCAGGTACCAGCTATGGCAAAATTCTAGGCACTTTAATACATAGGCTTCCCAAGTGGTGCTAGTGGTAAAGAATCTGTCTGCCAATGCAGGAGATGCAGGAGACGTGGATTTGAACCCTGGGCAGGAAGATCCCCTTTAGGAGGAAATGGCAACCCACTCCTGTATTCTTGCTTAGAGAATCCCGTGGACAGAAGAGCCTGGTGGGCTACAGTCCATGGGGTTGCAAAGAGTCAGATACAACTAAAGCAACTTAGCACGTACACACGCAATACATAGCTAGTCAACAGAAAAACACTTTTCCCCTATCCCCAAAGGGAAAGAAAATTGGAGGCAGGGGGCCAATAGAGATGATCTTGACTGTTCTGCCTTAGGGTTCCCTTACCTGTCCTTTCTCTCATCATAATCTAGTCCAGAAAGCTGTGATAATCTTGATAACCTAAGAAACATCACATTGGTTCATGACATGGATGAGATATAAGTACTAATCATCTTAGATATCTAAGTAAACCAATGCATTGCAGAGGGTGGAAGATAAACCCCACAGCCTTTCAAAACCTATCATATTGTGAAATTCTCGCAGTCTAGGGTATGTGAGAAGATCCCTTCTAAAGTAAGAGACAAGTTGTTGCACTTTGCATAGCCCACCATGAAGAAAATGGTGTAACCCTGCTGGACCTCCGAACTTCAGAGATGGCATGTATCACATGTGGGCATGCTGCTCTGGGTGACCTGGAGTCTGCCCATGTTGGTGGGGCTTAGAATAATAAAGCTCTCCCACAGTCCAGGCCACGGTATAGACTGCTCTGCCTTTGGGTCTTATGACTCAGCACACCTAATGGGATCAGAAATGCCTCTGGCCCACAGAGATATTCTCTGGGACACCAACAAGCCCCAACAGAAAAGGGACAGACTGGAGAAAGGTCATGCCTTCCTCTACCAGTCACTGTCCCCCATTTGAAAAGTAGCCTCTGGTTTGCTTCTGGGCCCAGGTTGAGAATCAACACCTGACACAGGCCACCAAGTCACATGCACAGCGG